ACCCGAACATGTTGTCTTGTATCCTCATGAGGAGCACCACTAAACTGTCCAATCAAGTCCAACATGTCGAACATAATTGGTTTGAGCTCGAAGTGGGCTGCCTGAATATTGGGTGCCACAATTCCAGGATTTAGGTCGTCTATGATAGGGTTTAAGTAATCTCGAATAGTACGAGGCCTAGCTGCATTCCTATAATTCAAAATTGCCTCAACATTATGATATTCCTATTGACCAATTCCTTGATTTCTGATCTGATACATGTTTATTTGAGCACGTTTAGTACGTAAAATAAAAACTTGAAAAAGATAAGGAAAATAACAAGTAAAACTATACAAAAAAATGAACAAGTAAAATAAAAATTCTTTGACAAAACAAATTAACTTTCAGTTGCTAATCCTCGACAACGGTGCCAAAAACTTGTCTTCTATTTATGAGTACTATAAATGAGTGTGGATATATGTGCAAGTATACACAATCGAACAAGTAATACAGTGATGAGTGAGTATTGTCTCCACATTGATTGGGGAAAATCAAATAAGTTTGTCAAGACACTTTACTCTATCACCTAAGTAAAGTTAGTGATGGTATATACAAATTATAATACTGTGGAAAAATGGAATGACGGATGTGGAAATGGAATGATGGTAATGTGGTAGCGAATGGATATATCGTGGCAAGTTGAATTGTGTTGAGTGCAAACAAATGGAAATGTCAAGGCAAAATGAAATGTAAATATATGATTTAATTGATATGACTTTGTCTTTCTCACATGACAAGCTACTATGGGAATGAGTGATGAGAGTCACTCTGGAAAACCTAAGTTTACTTCTCTGAGTGATCTTATCTCTATGCTTCTTCTTCCCGACAGAGTATACTAAGGTGCCCTATGCTATCTCTAGTAAGGGACTCGATAGATTGAAGATGCCCTGGCAAAACCGGTTGGCGTAAATCTCTGCAGTGATCCTATTGGTCCAGATAACAGGATATGTCTCGGCAATACCTTTTTGTTGCAGCATTAACATCTAACCTACCATTCACGCACAACTCTTTTTAGTCGAATGAAATCCTAGCCTTATCTCTAAGGTGGATTAGGCCTAGTTACTACTTATAACCCCTTGTTTATGTGGTTCCTCCCTAGTTTCTCTCGAACACTAAGGATGTGTTATCTTGGTATTCTCTCGAACCTAAAGAATCTCCTAAGGAATGGCTACTCTCATAGCTCATACAACCTTAAGGCACTAAGTTTCATAAATAAAACATATTATAGCATAGAAAATCAATCATTCATTTAAATAAAACTTAAATATCCAAATGAACTCCCACCAAATAGGATTAGTTCATGGTGGGGTTTGAAATAAACAAGCACATAGTAAGTTTTATCCGTTCTTTACAACCCAAATAACAAAATATGAAAGCAAAGAACTAAGGGAATGAGAAAAAGCTTTCGACGTGCACTGTCGGAACTTCACTCGGCCACCACGAATTGCCCCTAGTGAACTAGCTTCTCTTCACGGAGAAATGCCACGACAAGTAAGATTGACGGAGAAAAGTAAGACATTCTCTCTCTAACTTTTAAGCTCAAATCAACATGGAACCAATGTCTTCTTCATTGTGGCTTCATTCTCTATTTATAGGGGAAAATTAACCCTAGGACTTGGTGTTAACTTTCCTAGGATACCCCAAACCATGGTTAAATTACTTGGGGATCGGGCATAGCAAGCTATGATCCAGGCTGGGTTTCTTGCTGAGTACCCGGCATAATCCCGCTGCAGAAGCCCAAGGACAGGCAGGATATGCAGCGCAGGCGGCGTGGTCAACAGGATCGGCTGTAGCAGCGCTGATCCCTCCAGGCAAATTTTCGAGACAGATTTCTCGAGCAGAGGTTTCGTGAAAGTAAGAGACAGTTGGCTTCAAAAATATCTTCTTGCACTTTGCTCGCTTTCGAAATGCCAATCCCACTCGAAATTTTCATTATGCTCAGCAATCTCCTTATGTCACGTCATTTTCTTTTTCTCTTTTCCTTACTCTCAATCCCTTCACATCATTAAACAAGAACCTTTCCCATAAGGTAGAACTGCTTTAAAAATAAAATGTCACGGCAAACTGCACATGCAACTAAATGCTTCTAAATGCACCTACATGGTCCTAAATGAGCTCTTAGACATTCAATAACTTAAGTGAAAAGGTCCTTAAATGTGACCTTTTTACGTAGTTATCATTATGCATTATAAGACAATGATCTAAGTGAATATGTATGAGAAGTTTACATGAACTATGTGATAAAAGCTACGAACTTATATGTCTATGAGATATAAACTATGTGAATTGTGAAAAGCCATGTTATGTAGATGAGAGCTATAGGTATAATTGGCATGCGGTTCTACGTGGTCCTTAAGGACATATATGTAATCATTTGGAACATATATGCGGTTCTTTGAGACACATATTTGGTCCTTTGGAATATATATATGATCCTTAAGGAGATTTCTATGCGGTTCTTCGGGACATTTTATATGGCACTACTGTGCATTTTGATCGCTTGTAAATGTATATCCTATGTCAAGCAAATCTATGCAAGTATACATAATCGATGCAAGTAATATAGTAGTGAATGAGTATCGTCTCCACAGAGATTAGATTAGGAATACGTTTTCACCACAACTAGAACTAATGTCACAAGCTAAGTCCTACTAAGTATTATCCTAATACTAATGAACTAAGAAAATAATTCAATGATTTCAGAAAAGTTTGGTTGAGGCAAAATTAATATACAGACTAATAAAACAAAACAAGTGATAGTTTAAATATAATTCAAACAACCTCACATATTCAGACGTGTCACAGAGCACTTATGCTAAACCATTGTCTCGACAACAAATATTCTCAGTTTAGAATGACTTATTATGACTCACTAAAACTGCCCGACAGGATTACTAGGTATTCTTAGACGGTTGCTACGACAATACCTCTCGGCGTTAACTATATGGGAATTCGTCTAAATGCATAGGTACTATATGCATGCATAAAATCAATCTCGAAGATAGCCACAGCACCTCGGTGGAACCCTAAAGATGGTTCAACCCGATCATGAAGAAGGTAATCATGAAGGAAATTATAAAATGGCTGGATGCGGGAGTAATTTATCCTATATCTGACAGTTCGTGGGTTAGCCCAGTACAATGCGTACCAAAGAAAGGTGGTGTGATTGTGGTTAAAAGCGTACCAACATTTGCCTTTCATATTTGCTTCTGGCGTAGGTATTTGCTTCTGGCGTTGATATTTTCAACATTTTTATTTGATTCTTGGCGTTGATATTTCAATTTGTTTCATTGTTCAATTTTATGGGTTTGTGTTTTCACTCATGTTTCTGTATTATCTCTACTACTACACTGATCTGCCCATTATTTTTCTAATTTTTATGGGTTCGTGGGAATAATTGAGATGCAACTATTTTTCAATGCACCTAAATTTGAGCTCACTTGAGTTGCAGCAGTTAAACCCATTCAAAATCTAAGGAGTTATCCATCTTTCATTGAAAACCCAGGTATGTTTTCATAGATGTGAACCTTTTCTTCTTCGTTTATGAAACCGATGCATTGTTTATTGAACTGGAACTTCTATCTGTGTTTGGTTTGATTTCTTCTAGTTTTTAAATGAACACAAATGATTAAGAGAAATATAACACATCAACTGGAAAAACACTGACCTTGTAATGACTTGTCGACATAAATCGCAGAAAATTAATTGAACTGTAAGAAATAGATAAAATATTAGTTGAACTGTAAGAAATAGATAAAATCACGAAAGAAAATTAAAGCCGAGTACAAATTCGGCTTCTGCAGTTCAGCATATGTATTTCTAAAAGATCATGACCAAGGGAACTGAATCAACAAATGGATACTAAAGAGTAGGATACTAAAGAGTTGTGACCAAGGGAACTGAATCAAAAAATGGATAATACCATGAGCTATATATTTCTAAAAGATCATGACAACAAACATTTCACTTCAAATGACAATTTTTTTAAGCAAAACATACATGCTCACATAAATTCTAATTGATGCACTTAAACATTTACCTGAAAGCCAGGAGACTTTGCTCCAAGAAATCCTGAATAGTTGAGTGGACCACAAAGACAACGGACATTTGCATTTGATTAAGACAGATTAATACTCCCACCATTTTTCTCTACATCTCTGATTTGGCTTGAGTTTTTCCCCTAAAAATCACATCTCCCTCTGTTAGCATCGCTTCAATGTCAAGGGGATAGATTAGGCTGACTTGGTTAGAATGGGTTGAATATGCTTACTTGGTGAAATAGATTAGGCTGACTTGTTTTTTATGTGAGATTTTGATGCTATAATGTACTTCTAAGCTCTGTCCGAGAATGTTGTTAGTGTGAGATTTTAAACTTGTAGCTTTCTCTTCTTTTCGGGGACATGACATATGTTTAGACTTCTGCATTGCTTCCAAGATTTGCTCTTAGATTTTCTATAATTTTACAACATATTCATAATAGGCTTTCTTCCAAATAAAGTTTCAATCCTAACCCTAGATTTAAACTTTAAAGATAATTGATAATCCTAGCTGTTCATACTTCATAGTTTACCTAATACTTGATAAATAAATCTGAAATAATAAAATATTTAAAAGCTCATGTGTCAACCAAAATCGCATTAAAAATAATGAAGATATATTACCGCTCATCATCGTCTTCCCATACATAGGTATCCTCTTGTTGAAAAGTTTTGCAAGAAATTCTTAAATTACATGAATAAAAAAGCACCAACACAAAGATATACAACCAGATATTCGAGGGAAGGGGAATATAGCAAATAAAACCAAGAAGATACAAGTTGTAGTTGGAAGCAAATAAAAACACAATGTAATATTAAACTAGAAAAAAGATATATCCATTTGAAAAGGAGATATATGAGTGCAATGGTTTTCAAATAAGTAAAAAACACCAATTATGAACATTTTTTTTGAGGATGCAAATCATGATCAAGATTGATTGTTTAAATATATTCAAGATATTGGATAATAACAGTCCTCTTGAACACGCTGCAGTTCAAGACTTCCAGGTAAGCTTGGAATCTAATCATCTTTCTTTCCACGAAGAATATAGTTAAGACCGGTACCAGTTGTAATCACTTTCATGTTTTTGTATTTCTATAAGATGTCCGAAGTCCAAGTAGCATAGGTTCCGGCGAGGACGAATAGTAGTTTAAATATATGCAAGGTTTGTATCCTCCTCTGCATTCACAGCTCTTGATGGTTGTTATAAATATATAAGTTGGTCGACAATGAGGCCCTGCTCTTAATACCAAACGTTCTGTTGTGGAAATATTCACAGTTGAGATGGGTTTAGTGGTCAGTCTCTTGTGTAGGCAACCTTCTATAGTTTTCTGAATTGCTGATAGACTACAAAACACGATCAAATGATAGAATATTTGCATGCATACATGATTGTGTGGCGTAGCATTGAATCAAAGAGCAAAAGCAAACAAAACAAAATAGGTGTAAAACTCAAGGTGTTTCCATGTTTCATTATTAGACAGCAAACCCCATGCAAAAGCATAAATGTCTTAAGATTTAAGAAACGTACCAAGATCTTATCAAATATTTACACAAAAATGTATTAGTTTCGATTTGAAGAAATTACAAGAGCTGTAATCATTTTTTGTTCTTTTGGCATTTTAATGTACGAGATTGTTTTTGCTACTAGTTTGTTTATGGTATTTTCTATGTCTGCATGACTCTCCAGACAGTGTATGACCATGACACTTTTAGCAAAGATGACAAAATGGGAGATGTTGAGTTTGACATCAGGCCTTACGTAGAAGCCTTGAAACAGGATTTGGAAGACATCCTGAGTGGAACCACAATATCAAGAGTGCAACCGTGCAGGACCAACTGCCTGTCTGTAGAGTGCGGTGAACTGGAAATCGAACTTAACTGGATTGACCTTCCTGGGTCTAAAGGTGTATAAAGTTCATGCAAATCCTAGCATTGCAATAGCCATCAATGTTCCAACCCTGAAGTAGATGTCATTAACACTTTTTTCGAAAAGCAATCTCATAACCGATAGCTTAGAATAATTCGGACATAGCCGAATTAGCAGCCACTTAAAATTGTTTTAGAATTCTCTTTAGATACAGGTAAGCTATTTCACTTGTCCTTTGTGTATGATGCGAAAGAAATTAACGGTCTAGTATGTTCAAAGTTTGGCCTCTGTCGGTTTTTGTATGTTCAGAGATAAATTAAAGGTTGGGAAACTTGAATTATGGGGTTGGTTGCTTTTCGTAATCAGTAGTTAAGTACAAATTAGATTAGGACCGAGTATTAATACTTTAATTAAAATATTAGCAAAAATAATGATGAATGACAGTGAAATATAAAATTATAGACAATATGATTTTTAGTGTTATATTTTCTTACTTATTTGAATTATGTTTTTGTAATAAAAATTCATTAGATAAATAATAATGATAAAGTATTCAGAATTAAGTATAAATATAAAAGATAAATAAATAAATTATTGTATATAGAAAATATAATAAATATATCTTAGATAACAAAAATAATTTGTATCTTTTTATTATTATGAATATCTATGATAAATTATTGTATATAGAAGAATGTAAACCTTGTCGATTGAAAAATACAAGAAACCTCTCAGTGAATGTGTCACGTATGAACTGAAGCTAGTTTCCACAATGTAAACATTTAGTTAAATGTTGATGTAAATTTTAATATATTTTTATATAAATTATGTAAAATTTAATATTAATATTAATTAAAATAATACATGATATATTTAAATACTCAAGTAATATATTATCAACAAATAGAATTTTTATATAAATAATTTTTAATTAAATATTTAGAATTTCACTTGTTAAAAAATATAGAACAAGGACAATTTGGTAAAATATACATTCCAGTAATATTTTATTCCTTTAACCAAACATTGTAATCTTACTTTCCTGCCAAACCAAGCAAACACAGTAATGTAACATTCCCAGTAATCATATTCCCTGGTAATCTTTTATTCCCGCTGGTAATCTTACATTCCGTGAACCAAACGGGGCCTAAGGGTTCAAATTTCATACCTGATATGTTATGAATAACTCTCGATTGGTCCCTTGTCTTTCCTCCACATCTTGCATTGGTATTGTTTTCTGGGTGTTCATTGCTCAGATTTCTGTGGTTAGGGCAAGGATTTTTAGGATAGTCTTTTGAAAATAGTTCGTCTAGGCCAAAGTTTTCTACTTCATGTATCTCGGTTGTATGTTCGTGGTACAAAGTATTGTACTCATCAGGCCTTAGGGATTTACCTCATTCAAGGATTGCCTTTTCTTTTATCTTGTTAAGGCATTAGCATTCCTCCAAATCCTCAACGTATTTCATGGAGTTGAATACATTGATAGTGACACTTTGCTCACCTACTCTCATGGTGAATTCTCATTTTTCACAATCAATGAGGATTCTCCTGATTGCTAAGAAGGGGCGTCCCAGGATGATTGGTGCATTTTCATCCACTTCGCAATCCATGATGAAAAAATCTACTGGAAATATGAATTTGTCCACCTTTACTAAGACGTCTTCTGTTTTACCATCGGGTCGCACATAAGACCGATCAGCCAACTGTAGGATGAACGAGGTGGGATTGGCGTGATACCCGTCTAGTTTCATAAATATGGACTTTGGTATCAAGTTTTCACTTGATCCCAAATCAAAAAGAGCTCGTCCTATAAAGTCATTACCAATTGAGCATGGTATTATAAAGCTTCCAGGGTTTTTTTTCTTTGGTGGCAGTTTGCTCACTGCTGAGCAGATTTCTGTTGTCGCGGTGACACGTTCTACCTTTCTTTTCTTTGTAACAATTTCCTTAAGATACTTGGCATAGGAAGGCATGTGCTCGATGGCTTCAAGTAAAGGAACATTAATACACAACTGATCCAGAACATCAACAAATTTCTTGAACTGGATTTCATCATCATGCTTCTTCAACCGTTGAGGGAACGGTGGTGGAGGTCTCACATCGACTGTTGATGGTGCTGAGAAATCTCTGGCCTTGACCACGACTTTCTTGTTATTCGGTTGATGCTCTTCTGATCTTTCACTTCTTTCATTCTCTTCAGGCACTTTCTCTCGTTCAACATTCTCAGATTGATTATCCAATTGTTTTACGCCTTGGCAAGGATTGTTTAGTTGTTCTCCCCTAAACTTGTCATCTTGGTAGACTTGTTTTCCATTCCTTAGCTTAAGTACATTCATTGCTCCTTCCCATGGTGCTTAGTGACTTCAGTATCACTAGGGAGATTTCCATGTGGGCGAGAATGTAATGCCATAGCAATTTATCCCAATTGAATCTCCAACGCTATGAGAGATGAACTATGGCTTTGCAAAAGTGTTGCTTGGCTTTGTAACAAATTTCCTTGATGAAAAAATCTACTGGAAATATGAATTGTCCACCTTTACTAAGACGTCTTCTGTTTTACCATCGGGTCGCACATAAGACTGATCAGCCAACTGTAGGATGACCGAGGTGGGATTGGCGTGATACCCGTCTAGTTTCATAAATATGGACTTTGGTATCAAGTTTACACTTGATCCCAAATCAAAAAGAGCTCGTCCTATGAAGTCATTACCAATTGAGTTTGGTATTATAAAGCTTCCAGGGTTTTTTTTTCTTTGGTGGGAGTTTGCTCACTGCTGAGCAGATTTCTGTTGTCGTGGTGACACGTTCTACCTTCCTTTTCTTTGTAACAATTTCCTTAAGATACTTGGAATAGGAAGGCATTTGCTCGATGGCTTCAAGTAAAGGCACATTAATACACAACTGATCCAGAACATCAACAAATTTCTTGAACTGGATTTCATCATCATGCTTCTTCAACCGTTGAGGAAACGGTGGTGGAGGTCTCACATCGACTGTTGATGGTGCTGAGAAATCTCTGGCCTTGACCATGACTTTCTTGTTATTCGGTTGATGCTCTTCTGATCTTTCACTTCTTTCCTTCTCTTCAGGCACTTTCTCTCGTTCAACATTCTCAGATTGATTATCCAGTTGTGTTACGCCTTGGCAAGGATTGTTTAGTTGTTCTCCCCTAAACTTGTCATCTTGGTAAACATGTTTTGCATTCCTTAGCGTAAGTACATTCATTGCTCCTTCCCATGGTGCTTAGTGACTTCAGTATCACTAGGGTGATTTCCATGTGGACGAGAATGTAATGCCATACCAATTTATCCCACTTGAATCTCCAACGCTATGAGAGATGAACTATGGCTTTGCAAAAGTGTTGCTTGGCTTTGTAACAAATTTCCTTGATATTTAATTGTTTTAGAATGTTCGTGCATCAAGGTCTTTGTGGAAGCCATGAAATCTTTTGTTGAGGTCATAAATTCCTGCAATGATAACTCCAAGGAATTAGTATTCAAATTGGTGTTAGAAGAAAAAGTTATATCTTTATTGTTTTGCCAAAGCTGCTGATGATGCTGATTCTGAAAATGTTAATGGTCAAAATTATTTTGTTGTGGCCTGTAGTTTGAAGCTTGGTTGTTACTGTTCCATTGATTACTCCATGAAAAATTTGGATGTTGTCTCTAACCAGGATTGTATGTATTTGAATAGGGGTTATTATTACTCCGATTGTAGTTGCCTACAAAATTGCTTGACTCATGGTTTTTAGGACATTCGCTCTCATGATGGTTGCCGTGACAAAATAGGCATACATTATTGGTCACCTTGACTTCTCTTACCTCATTAGGATGTTGCAAATTTTTCAACATAGTGGTTATGGCTGAAAGTTGAGCTGCTACCGAATCTTTACATTCTAATTCACATGCTCCTGATGTTTTTATGTCAGATCCCAATCTTGCACTTGGAAATTGATAATCATTATTTTATATCCTGTCGAGGATGTCAAAAGCTTCCTCCGGTAATTTGTCTTGTAAGGTACCATTTACTGAGGCATCTAGCATTATTCGAGTTGGTACGTTGACTCCATTGTAAAACATTACCACTTGTGTTTAATCGTGAAATCCATGGTTAACACATTTGCGAAGTGGACTTTTATACCTATCCCAGTATTCGTACATTGATTCATCATCTCCTTGGCGAAAACTAGCAATCTCATTACGAAGCTGAGTGTTCATATTGGGCGGGTTGTATCGCAGTAGGAAACTCTTGCATTAATCTGCCCATGACTCCATTGAGTCGGAAGGAACTCCGCTGAGTCAGGCTCTTGCTCTATCGCATAGGGATATAGGGAAAAGCTTAAGTTTTAGTATATCCTCATGTACTCCTTGTTGTCGAAACGAGTTGCATACTTCAAGGAAAGCATTCACATGCTGTCTCGCGTCTTCATTGGGTGAACCACCAAATTGTCCGATAGAGTTTAACATGTTAAACATCACCGATTTGAGTTCGAAGTGAGTGGCTTGGATCTCAGGTGCCACTATGCCTGGATTTTGATCATCGAGAATGGGGTTCAAATGATCTCGTATTGCTCTTGGTCTTGCAACTTGAAGATTAATTGATGCGTCTGGATCTCCTAAATCTCCCATGTTGTGTTGCATTTTAAATTGATTTGATTGTTCCCTGGTTCTTTGGGCACGCAACCTTTGTCTGAGTGATTGCTCAATTTCAGGGTGGAATGGTTCCAAAGGCTTACCAGAAGATCTCAAGGTCATGAAATAATTAAAACCTACAAAATAAAATAGTAATCTACGTTAGACTAATATGATGTGACAAAGAGAACTTGTTATGGCTAAAACAAATATCGCCAGTTGCCAATTCCCCGGCAACGGCGCCAAAAACTTGATCATTTGTAAATGTATATGCTAAGTCAAGCAAATCTGTGCAAGTATACACAAACGATGCAAGTAATATAGTAGTGAGTGAGTATCATCTCCACAGAGATTGGATTAGGAATATGTTTTCACCACAACTAGAACTAATGTCACAAGCTAAGTCCTACTAAG